AAAATGCTCCAAACTTCAGAACACCCGTGACTTAAAACCCGAACCCATTTTTTTTTTCTTCTTTTTCTTCCTCTTCCCCCCTTTTCCCCTCTCCTTTTTCCCCCCCGGTTTCTTTTCCCCTCCCTGTCTTTTGGTTTCTGTTTCCCTTTTTTTTTTTTCACCACTTCCCCTTCACGCCCTCGTGCGCTTCCCCCTCCCTCTTTGGGGGTTTTAGCCCTTGAGTGCTCCCCTTCCCTTTGTATTTGATGGCTCGTCTTTCCCTTTTTTCCCCTTTACCAAAACCACTACCACCCTTCTTCTACACATCTACTATAAATTGACACATGTCGCGTCTGTTGTCTTTGTTGTGGACTTTCGCCATCCGTGGCTGGCTGGATGGGGAAACTCACGGGGGGGTTGCCCGGGGTTGTGCATGTGTCATTTCATCCGCGGGATTATTACAAACTTGTACACTACTACTACACACCACTACTCTACCTCCACCTCTTTCCCGCCTATAAACCGTCCTGCTCCCCTCTGTTGTTGACTTTGTCAATGGTCCAAGGGGCCAAACGCCGTAAGCTTCGTCCTTTTTTTGTGCGGGGTTTTTTGTGTATCGTTCCAGTCACGGGATTGTGCCTTTTTGTTTTTTACACACAAACCTTTTCTAAGGCCCACCTTTTTACTGGGGAAAAAAACTCCCTTTCCCCCATACTTTAACTTACCTCCACCTCGAAAAAATCTTCACTGCTTTCAGTAACCTACCTTCTACACCATACATCTGCCACATTGCCCCCCCCCCCCCACCCCCGTCATATGCCTTTTCCCAAACCAAAATGCCACAATACCTCTTAGCCTCATCAAAACTGTTTTTACTTGTTTCACTGGAACACCTGACCCACACCCCCACCTTTCCTAAAGCCTCCTTTTTAACTGCTACCATTCTCCGCTTTTCTCTTAATTCTTTCAATAAAACTCCTCCAACACTTTTTTCCAGGTAAACTCGACACTCTTAACCCCCATAATTTTTTTCACTCTTTATCCCCTTTGCCCTTTATACAAAGGAACTATACATGCCCTGCCAACCCAAAATACCTTACCCCTTTCCTACATTAAAAAAGTGCAACCACCCCGAACTATACCCCACCCCTTTTAAAATTTCATCTTATCCCATCAATCCTCCCCGCCCTTTCCCCCTTTCATTTTTTCCTACTCCTCACAACTTCCCCCCCCCACTCACCTGGGGCCCCTCACTCCACAAAGGTTGTTCCCCTTGCCCTATACACAATCATAAACTTTTCCCATCTTTTCACATTTTAAAAATTCCTCAAAATATTCCCCCCCACTTCCCAATACCTCTAACTCTCCATTTAATAAATCTCCTCCCCTTTTTTTAACTGACAAATCCTTTGTTCTCTAGGCTTTTCTTACTTTTAAAACTCACTCCAAACTTTTTTTTTATTTTCAAAAAAATTTGTTAACATCTCACCCACCTCTCATTTGCTCTTTTACATTTCTTCACCACTCCCCTTAACCCTTTTTTTTTCTCCATATACCTTCCCCTTGCATCATTCTCTTTAATTTTTAAAGAAATTTTCAGCCAAAAAACACTGCTTATTAATTTAGTTGTGGGCTGTATTACGATATTTGGTTGTCTAAACCCCAAAAAGTAACCGACTAAACCAACCCCAGGCGGGATTTGAACCCGGGGGTCAGTCTCAAAACTTAAAGTAATTGTTGGGCCCATTTAAATAAATACTTTTTATATTGCATAAAAATTGTGCATAAATGCATAATTTAAAACACTTGCAGTTATCTTTATATATCATAAAAAGTACCTGCCTAGCAGGGGGGTATGCTAAAAATTGGCCACTACTAAATACCATACCATTTTGGAGTTGAACCCTATATAAGGGGGCAAAAATTAAACTTTTGTAGGGACGTTTTTTCAAAATTAGTCCAACCCTGCCTCCATATGTTATTATCACCCTTTTTAAACCCGATTAGAACTGAAACCCTTCCCAAAGCCTATTTTACTCATTCAGGCCCCGGTTTTTTGCAGGTTAAAACATGTCCCTCGGGTTTTCACCCTAATCAGTTTTTCCCGGTCAGCCTAAAACCGAAATGGCCGAAAACGGAAATATTTACCCTAAGAATTAATGTAAATACAATTGATCCATTCCATGCCCAAAAATTTTAACAAAAAAATACATTTTTTGAAGATTTTTTCATACACAACAATGAGAACTAAATAAAATAGTACATGAAAAATTAAATCGCCATTACATACCTTCATTGAAGACTCCTGTAGGTTACAGAAAGTGTAAATAAAGCGAATTTTTTTTTTTTGGGCGGGGGGGAATATTTCTCCGCGTACCTGGGCTGCTGCACATACAGGCCTATATCTCGGGAGTAAGTTATTTGCCTATTTGGAGCCACAGACCAAATATTTATGGACGAATTGACCTGATTTTCACAACCTAGAAGCACGATTGCTCTACAAGCTCTTATTACGATTTTTGACGTATCCTAAATATTTTCAGATTTGTGTGGGTAAACAAATCTTTCTAAATGGCAAGAAACATAGGAACTGTATTTTTTCTAGAATGAAGATGAGGTTTATTACAAGGAAGGATGGAATTAGAAGTGCTCTCAGCAGTTTGTCAAAACCACTTTTCTAAGTACCACTTTAGCCCTGTGCCCTGCCAAGTGTAATTTTTCATAAATTTTTTTTTCATTTGATTTTCACCCAATCTTTCTGGCACTTCATCAAATCAGTTATTAGCTTCTATTAGTACACCAAAATTGAACGAAATCGGTCTACAAATAGTGGACAAATTTTTGTTTACACGCCTCTAAGCGTACATAATAAGGCAAACCGATTACTGGGATTTATATCAAGTGTAAGCAACAGAAGTTCAGCAATTGCATTACAGCTTTATACATCATTAGTAAGCTCAGTTCTGGTCTCCATATTACAGAATGGACATAAATCTGTTAGAAAACATTCGGCATAGAATGACGAAATTAATACATAACATTAGAAATCTTCCTCGTGAAGAAAAATTGAAGACCATTAACCCTTAACCTGTCCAAACATAGATCTACGTTCACATGTGTATTGCTCCAAAAGTAGATCTGTTTTTTTTACATACTTTCAAATGTAGATCTACATTTGGACAGTTTAAGGCTTAAATTACATTAACTTGTTAGATGTAAAGTAAAAGGACACAAGTGCAACTAATGTGACATTTATTGTGGCAACGTTTTGCTCTCCAGGAGCTTTATCAAGCCATTACAAACAATACATGGACACAGAGGGTATATAAAGGCTCAGAGTGAGGTGAATACTAGTGAGGTACCATTTCGATGTTCACTAGTGGTGGTGGTAGTAGTAGTAGTAGTAGTGACAAAAGTAATACAATATGGTAGAGCAATTAATTCGTACATGAGTAAAAGGATATAAAAGCTATTACTTGGGTAACATAAAAATAGGTTGGACAAATATAAACTGGAATGAGGCAGCTTGTTTCAGTGTTCACTCTGTGCTTTGTGTAGTATAACAGCGAGAGACTATGTGATGGCAGGGTTTACTGTTTTCAGGAGGATTCTTGCTAAGACTTCGGAGATGGTGAAGCTGCCGTTGTTTTGGTTAATTGTATTCGAAACTGCGATCAGTGCTGATTCGAGGCACTTGCGTCTGCGGAAATTAGTTTCTTTGATCATAGTCTCTCCTGTTATACTACACAAAGCACAGAGTGAACACTGAAACAAGCTGCCTCATTCCAGTTTATATTTGTCCAACCTATTTTTATGTTACCCAAGTAATAGCTTTTATATCCTTTTACTCGTGTACGAATTAATTGCTCTACCATATTGTATTACTTTTGTTACTACTACTACTACTACTACTACCACTAGTGAACATCGAAATGGTACCTCACTAGTATTCACCTCACTCTGAGCTTTTATATACCCTCTGTGTCCATGTATTGTTTGTAATGACTTGATAAAGCTCCTGGAGAGCGAAACGTTGCCACAATAAATGTCACGTTAGTTGCACTTGTCCTTTTACTTTACGTATTGTCGGTAATTCTACCAACTTTATTACAACTTGTTAGATGAAGAATGAGGGGAGACATGATCGAAATGTGGAAGATGGGTATTAATAAAGGGGATACAAATAGTTTTGAGGACCTGCAGTAATGGATTCAAATTAGAGAAGTTTAGATTTAGAAGGGATATAGGAAAGTATTTTTAAGTGATGAGATTTGACACCTCTTCTTAGACCATTATGCTGTACATGGTTGAACTGAAATAAAAAAAATAAAATAAAAAAAAAATAATGTACATTGTTACACTAAATAAATGTTTTTCCTTTTAAGTTTCAGGAATTGGAAAGTGCTTGGAATTTCTTGTGAGTAAAATGGACAGTTCATAATGTCATTAAACTATTCTGAAAGCTTTTCTTCATGTCATAACCCCTTTGTGTTAATCAGTCGGTACAAAACCGTGCCAGAAATGGTAAAAACCCAGTTTTATGGGCTAGTGTCAATCTTGCCAAAATGCAATATCTGTATTAATATACTTGCATCTACCTTTAAGTAGAGATTACTAATTGATTTTTTCCCTGCAGGAGTGGATATATTGTTTTTGCCTTTTTGAATGGTTTTTTTTATTCTACTGGAGCCCAGACCTGGGCAAGGCTTACAATCAACTAGGCTGTTGCTTCTGGCCTACATGTCCACCACAGCTGGTTGACCTGGCACCTGGTGATAAAATTTTCCAGTTTCATCTTTAAGATTTCTGCATTTGTCAGTGTTCTCAATCTGGTAAGATATTCAGATTGGTTCGAGTACTGGTAGATTAGTGTCAAATGTACGTTGGAAGTTGTTCATGTGACTTAATGATGAGAAATGTTTATCTTGACTCCTGAATTAAAGCTCAACAGGACTGACATACCTTAAGTAAAGGTCTGATATGTAGCTTAGGTAAAAACTAATTCTATTAAATTTTCCCAGGTGGAGGCTGGTGCTCTGATGTGAAAAGGTAATTATGGTATCCTGTTGGCATTAAATTGTAGTTGCCTTATTTGAGAGAAACCAAGAAGATTTAGAAAGTAATTTTATGATTTGTGTATCAAAATATTTGTTGACATAATAAATTCCTCGTTTCTGATAGATTAAGAAGCTTAATTATATTTATAGTTTAGTTTAGCAGGGGACTGATGCTCTTTTCCTTTTTTCCAGAGGGACAAGTGTATCATGGGTAAGTTGCTGCCTGCACACCTTCACTTTCATTAGACCTAGAGCTCCATTCTGTGAACTTTGTTTAATCAAACATTACTTTGTCGGGCATGCATCCTAAAATTTTGGTCAGTTTCAGGTCCTCCCCTCCCTCTACAGTGCATACAGTAATTGTGCTAATGGTATATTTTATATTCATATATTCAAATTTCAATTTTTTTTGCCCAAATGCCAACCATATGTTGGGTGAATATTCCTCTTCACTAAAGGACATAACCCAACTTGTACTTTACCCAGGGGAGATGTGCATGGCAAGGTACTGTTGCTGGTGCAGGGTTCTTGATCTAGGGAATTGGATCTGTTCCAGTTCCTGGAATTAAGCCTGAATACCTTCTACATCCTTGCACAGGCCCTGTATAATCCTACAGGTTTAGTGCTTTCCCCTTTATTTCGTGATGCTGTACCAAATTTGTAATTATACTTAAATTGGCAGAGTAAGCACCTGAAGTACCAAATTGCATATCTACTAGCATATCCCACATATTCATTGCTCCAATAGTAGGTACCATGCTGATTAAACAATCTTGGTCAAATTAAGCCCTTGGTGGGCCACTTTAACCCTTAAACTGTCCAAACGTAGATCTACGTTAACGTGTGTAGTGCTCCGAACGTAGATCTAAGTCCGATTTTATGTGCTTTAAAATGGAGAGAATCGAGGTCGGAGTGCTACACACTTCAACAAAGATTTACGTTTGGAAAGTTTAAGGGTTAAGTTGCCACATCGTCAGTAATGTCAATGTATGAATTTTTTTTTTTGTCATGGAGATAAGTTATTTATAATCTAATTGCTTTTTTGAAATTTTAAGCTGCTAATTTCTTGTATTATTGGCCACAACTGGGAGGTATAATAATGTTTTAGCATATTACCTGTAAATAAAATGCATATATCTTAACCCATTAACTGTCCAAACAAAAATCTGTTTGCTCGTCCAGCACTCCGAATAGTATTTTAAATATTTTTAATTTTAAAGAGAAGTTGGCGTTGGATGCTCGCATGATGGCAACATGAAGTCCTGCCACTTGCAGATGTGTACAAAGTATTTATTGGTCCCAACAGTGTGACACTGGAGTATATATGAAACTCCTTTAAGCATGGTGTTGAGAAGTTACTAAACTGACAGGATAAGCAGTGGAGTGACACTTGATTGTCTGTCTACTCATGTCGTGATCTGCTTGTCTGAGTTGCTTATGAGCCAACTGGTATTATACAAGCTCATGTCTGATTCCTGAACAAGTAAAAAGGCATCTTATTTGCCAGTTGTCGTCAGCTTTAAAATATTTTATCTAAAAGTAAAAATAAGCACGGTCGGGTTTTTCTTGGGTTTTTAAAATGCCTAGGTAGTTCCCTTTCTTGCCCCACTTCGCTTCTTTCTCCCCATTGAAATGTAACAAATGGTCTAATTTCTGTGGCGTTTGGATTCCACAGTGTTTCCGGGACAGTGTGCGGGGACATTTCTATCCTGGCTAGCATTCTTACAGCTGAATTGTATGCCTTCTTGCAGCACTTACCCCGTATTGCTCTAGCCGTCATCATTTGTGGTTTCACTCCATAGCCCCATGGGCTATACAAAAATTTTGAACCCTCACCCCCTACCCTCCATTGTTATGTACGGGGCAAAAAACGGGCGCACTGCTGCACGGTCAGAGTACTGACCTACCGTTTTATGGTGTTGATTACAGATATTTTGTGTAATAGCCACCCACCTTTCCCGTTGCCAACAACATTGGGGCTAATTTACCAACGACTTTATTCTATTAAACAGAAATAGGTTACTGGCTTCTTTCATCGTGTCAGGTGGGAGACTATTTCTCCCGTCTTGATTTGGCCCCCCACCGTTTTTTTGTGGGGATCTGTGGAGAGGACCTGTTCCTTGAGGTTCAGGTCCAGTGTTGCCACATTCTGTTAACTGCCCCCTTATCAACAGCAAGCAAATTTACCCCCAATAACGTTCTGTCACTATCTCTTTACCTTTCCTTCTTGCCCTTTAATCCCGAACTTGCCAAAAGACTTCTTAAAAGACTTACTCCCCAAAAATCTTTACCCTTTTTCACTCCCCCCCATCCTTTCTATAATTTTTTTTGCTACCCCCACTCCCGCACTATCCATGGCCACACTGTTCTCCATAACCTACTAATTATCCCTCTCCCTTTTGCCACCTGATACCCCTGCTTTCTTCCTGCCCTGCAGAGCTGTATAGCCCTTGTGGTTTAGTGCTTCTTTTTTATTATAATTGGGTTATCCTGGGTAATTTACACCATGTATGTGTACCTGTGAGATATAATGATGCAAATACAGACGGAGATGCAGCCAGTCGGCCTACCTGCTGAGCAAGTTTTATATGTTCCAGAATTTTTTTTTAGGTTACAGGACATTCTGGCAGGATGACACTGCTAGTGGTACAAAAATTGAAAGGGTGTTGCACATGGGTTATTGAGGTTTTTGATATTTCCACAACCACTTGTGGCCACATCCACCTCAGTCACTAAACTTGGTCAACATCACTTTCCTCTTAAAGGGGTAGTGTTAATGACATGACATCAGTGAATCCTTGGTGCTTACTGTGCTGTTTGCTCTAGCACTCAGTTGAACTGGTGATCCCACAAGGTACTAAGTGGTCCCAGATTTTTTAAGACCCATTCTATGCTGACCAGGCATCTCAGGCCAATTGTGCCAAATTTGGAGGCAGGGAAAATTAAATGTAGATCTACATTTGGACAGTTAACAGGTCAATATTGCCACATTCCCTTGGATGTAATGTAATTTGTGGTGTAATGCTTCTGAGAAAAGTTTAAACATGCCCTATCTTAAAGAACTGAATTGAACCTCCCTTCCCCCCCCTCTCCAAGTTATCTTTCATATGAATTAATTGAAGCTTGTTAACCTATAAATTACTGACCACCATTCCATAAGTGCATTATTGGACCTGTATGGATAAAACGGTTGGAGGGTATTTTCTGATGTTGGCATGCTTTTGGAAAGCATTACACAACTGATGGTTTCTTTGAGGTTCCCTTCCTTTGTAGGTGGCCAGAGGCAAAAAATAAATCTGCTTGCTTAATGTTTAGTGTAATTATTAGGTCCTACTTTCAAAGTACGACTTGCTTTAATTGGAGTAATTGTCATGTCTAGGAATATTATCCTGATGAGTATAACAAGCATATGGCTGACAAGTTTGATGTTAAAATAATCTGATTATTTCCAAAGTTTGGACTACTCACAATTTATGCAGGCTGTAATTTAATACTGTGTTCTTTTCAGGGGCGGCTTCAAAAGTTGTGTTCTTGGATGGTTTTGACGAACTGTTTATTTTGGATGTAAGTTTGCTGTGAATTCAGTAAATTAGAACATTGCATTTGGCATTTTTAAATTCTTATCCACAGGATCTTGAAGTGGATTCCTTTACATCAGTTTAATAAAAAATCAACTGCATAAATTATCTACAGACCAACTGCAATATTTTTCAAGTTTATCTGAAATTACATTATCTAGTTTGACTTGGTGGGATATGTTGTGTATCTTTTTATGTGTATGCTTCTAAGCTTGTTCTGAGCACCTCTGCAAAAAGTGATGTGCGAGTGTGGTGAAAGTGTTGAACATGATGAAAGTATTTTCTTTTTGGGGATTTTTTTACTTTTTGGGTCACCCTGCCTCGGTGGGAGACGCCGACTTGTTGGAAAAAAAAAAAAATTGACTGGCTTTAAAATATACTTTTACCTTCCAGGTAAGAGGTAATTTCTTGTACTGTTGGCTTGCCATGTTCAAACCTAGTTGAAGCACTGAATTTAATTTATTGTATTGTAAGAGTTATTGGGATTGGTTGAATTGATTTTGTAATGTTAATCCAGACTGGCCTAGCCTGAAATTTGTATGAATATTTTTTTTTTTTTAAAAGTTGAGCACTGGCCCACTAGTAGAAATAAGTTGGGTTTAGTGTGATTTGAGATAACTAGTATGGTCCAGAAGGCCCATAAGAGTTCATGGGCTGGGAGGCCCATACTGGGTTGGTCTGTGCCCTTGCTACATATAACCATATGTACTGCCTCAGTGGTTTGCTAACAGATTGTTTCTTAAGCCTTATATTGATAGCCTCCCCCTTCACTTGTAGTTAATGCCTTAGCACTAGTTAGATTGTTCATTATTTTTAACTTGTATTTAGAATGCTCTATTTTGACTTTCAGCTCAGATCCAGTGATTCTGCTGGTGTGGACATTGTGTAGTAGTGTACTAGGATCTTTGCCTCCTCAAAATCTTTGAAAAGGCAAGATGCTGGGAGTTTTCCTTGGAGGCTGGCTCCAGAATGTGGTAAATAAGCTTTAAAAGTATGTAGTTTCTAACCAAACAAATGATAAATATTTTCTTGTCAAAGTTTGTGGTTTCCTACAGAAGGCTTTGCCTTATGATGGTTTATGGTGTCTGAAAATATCTTTTTATTTAAAGAAATGAATGGTTTTGCTTTCTTCAGCATTTCATTTTTTTCCTTGCAGAATCTACTCGACATTGGTTGAATAACAGGTAAGGCTACCAAACATGTTAACCATCCTAAAGCCACTTTTTGTGCCTTTGCCTAATTCTTTGCCTTGACTGGTGCCTCGTATATTTTTCCAGAATGCCCCCTTTCCTCTGTATTTGTTCTTGGATTACTTTAATTTACCTACCCTCTAGATTAATGAATCTTTCTTGGCATTCCCTGGACCTAACAACTTCTAACATTGTCACTTTTTTTCTCAGTATAGACTAATTGCTTCAGTGTGTAAATTTGGCAGTTTTGATTTACCCATTTGGAAATCTTGTGAAGAGCATACAAACCTTTCTTTAGCTTTTTCAGTCCTAGGTCACCCTGCCTTGGCAGGAGACTTCTGTTGTGATAGTCCTAGCTAAAGTATGTGTTTCATTTTTCTATTGTAATGTTCAGGAATAGTCCTGATGAATTAACAAGCATATGGCTGACAAATGTTTGATGCTAGTACTATCTGACTTAAAACCTTGGACAACTTCAAAAATTTTACTCTACGTATAATTTAATACTGGGTATTCTTTTCAGAGGCAGTTTTAAAAAAACAGGGACTTTGGTATCTGCTTGACTCATTAATTTAGAGGTAAGAGTTTGATATGAGAGATGAATTGACATATTGCATTTAGTGTATTCAGTTTATCCACAAATTTTAATGTAATGACTACTAATGAGAAGTTCTGCTAGGCCTTGTTTTGAGAAAAGGTGTTAATCTGAAGTAAAATGTGTAATTTTGGTAAACAAGGTTTTCATTTTTCAGGTAAGGGGCAGTTACACCACAACTTCCAAATCGGTTTTCATCTGATTTAAATTTTATCATAGTACATGTTTAAAATTTTGGCAAGGCTTTTGTGTAGACTTAAATACAATGTGCAGTTAAAATTTGATTATAAACTTAACAGTATATTGTGTAATAGGAAAATAATCATTTGAAAATAAAAGCTTTTAATGTCTTGTTGGTTTCTTACGGTATCCTGAAGAATTTACTACTAGTGCTGTGATTGGTATGTGGACTGGCAGTAGCATAATCATACTTTTGAAAGTTCCATACCTGCTAGAAATTTATCTAAAGTTTTAAGATTTAAAAATGGTTAGTTTTTCCTAGGGAATGTATACTCTTAAATAATATGCATTCAATAGTTGGCACAATAGCAAGGATAAGAAAACTAAATGTGGTTGGGCAGAGCTAAAGCAAGGGCTAAATGATTAATGCCCCAATTTTTTTTTTTTTTTTTTTTTTTTTTTTTTGACACCTGCCATTTCCCACCAAGGCAGGGTCAACCCAAAAAGAAAAAAAAATCAACACTGTCACTTGTATAATTACTCTGCAGAGGTTTAGAAAAATCTAGATGTACATGTATAACATATCCCTCCAAATTGTCAATATCCCAAATCCCCTCCTTTCAAAATACAGGCATTGTACTTCCCATTTCTAGGACAAGTCCAGTTTACTGATTTCTCTAAATCCATTCACAAAATATTACCCTGTTCACACTCAGCTTGTCAGGACCCAAGAGCCATCAGTCTCCATCCAAGCATGCTTGCTGGAAGTCGAAGCCCCTCGCCTACAAAAGCTCCTTTACCCCCTACCAACCTTTTTGGGGATGACCCCTACCCTGCCTTCATTCTACAGATTTGTACTCATTCTTTGTTCCATTCTCTAAATGACAAAATGCCTCGGTAGCCCCCTCTGAATAATACTATTAGTAACTCCATACCACCTAATTTCCACACTGCAAATTCTCTGCATATTTAAACCACCCTTAGACACATCTCCACTACCTCCAGCTGCCGCCCCACTGCAGCATTTACAACCCATGCTAAGAAAGTGTTGGTACCAAACACTAACCTATTTGCTAACATTGGCTACTTTTGCTTCAAATGGCTCCCTCCCCGTCATGCTCCCCTACCCCTCCTAACATCACATCTCTTCGTACTGCTGCTGTTTAACATTTCAGGGTCCAAAATTTTATATAATTGCTAGTGTTTCCCTAGTGCTACCCTTTCCTTTTAGTGCTTCCCAGCAACTATTCTGATAAAACAAAAGGAAGTCGGTATTGTGGCAGCCTAGGTTACAGGTTGAGGACATTTTTGTCCACTTGGGTGATTCATTGATGCTAGTGAGGGGCTTTACATTCAGGGAATTTGATATCCTATACTTCCCGGAATGCCTTTCACACCCCTCCCCCACAACAAGCGCTGTATAATTCCTACGGATTTAGCGCTCCCCATAATGCCTTGATAAGCAAAGCATCACCAGACTTGTATCTACCCCGAACCTCACTAAAACTACCACTCGAATCTACCCTTACCTCACTTATGGTATTTGTGCCCTTCAAGGAAGGTTCCTTCAAATTGGCGAGGGGCTCTTGATCTAGGGAGCTGGATTTGTTCCAGTTCCCTGAATACCTTCCACATTCTCCCCCACACAGGCGCTGCATAAACCTATGGGTTTAGCGCTCCCTCTTGATTATAATATAGCATTTGTTTGGGGATCAGCCACTACCAATCTTAAACCATTAATAACCCAACAAAAAGTTGCTGTGTGGATTATGAACTGCTCCAGACCACACCCCACCGCTCAAGAGCTTGGATTTAATATTAAATGTATACACAACATTGAATTGAATTCCTCAACCTTCTTGATAGCTACAACAGAGCACAGGCATAACACGGGACAACGCATTCTTTGGCATCTCACTGGTTTGTCTCGCACTATGCAAAAACAATGCACATGAAGGCCACAAAGATCTGGAATTCATTGCCTGAACCAGCAAAAGTTCTGCCTGCTTATCCCCTCAAGGAAGGTTCCTTGATGTTGGTGAGGGGCTCTTGATTTAGGGAATTGGATCTGTGCTCCAGTTCCCCAAATTAAGCCTGAATGCCTTCCACATCCCCCCCAGGTGCTGTATAATCCTCCGGGTTTAGCGCTTCCCCCTTGATTATAATAATAATCTGCCTGCTTATAGATTTAGGTTATATTTAAAAATTAACTCTTCCAAACTTAACCATACCAACAATTCTCTCCAACCAAAACTGAAATTGTGAAAATACTATGGGGTGTGGAAATTTATTTGGTCCCTAAGTTCCACAGGACAGATCCAGCATGGCCGTATGGGACGGCTGAGCTGGATGGCCCTTATACCCCACCCAAACATGAAAGCATTCTAACCATACCCCCGGCCGGGATTGAACCCGCAGTCCTAGAGTCTCAAAACTCCAGCCTGTCGCGTTAGCCACAATAAGATTCATCCAACTAGGTATATTTCTACACCATAGGAAGGTTAGCACAGGCACCACTGACCACAAATGCAAGTTTTTACAGACTAATCTCCAGCTAGCGTGGCCGTGACGAACTCTAGCTCAAGTCCCTTCACTGCCCGTGGCTAACGCGACGGACTGGAGTTTTGAGACTAGGACCGTGGGTTCAATCCCGGCTGGGGGTATGGTTTGTTTGCAATCGTGTCATTACGATTTCTTGAGTCATGAAAGCATTCTCTCTTGTTGGCGATGGATTGTTGGTAGGCATGTATTGAATTTGAAGATTTACTCTTCAGGGAAGGAGTAGGTAGTTTTACTGTTAGTATATTATTAGGTTTACTAAGGCAACTGTAGATAATAATAATGTAGACCTAAGACCTTAACATAGGTAGTAATAGGCCGATAATGTAGGCAAACACTAGGATAAGTTAGCTAGGGAGAACTGGCAGCCCTAGTTTGAACGAAGAGACGAGGGTCTGGAAGAGGGACCAGCTAGTTCTAATTAAGACAGACGCCAACTGGACAAGACGTGCCGTGATCAGCAGACGGCGCCCCCCACGTGTCTTCACCTTTGAGACCTGGGGAAATCTGGTAGAGGCACCTCGATGTACTGTAGATGACCTACGTCAGGCCCATACAGTAAGACAAGACCTCCACTATTTCTCGTAGATTTCTGGCCAGTGTCTGGGGAGAATTGAGTCGAGTTTTATCTGTGGGCCCGGTGTGCAACAGGCAGAGCATGCCCAGTAAGTACCAGTGTCTCAAGGCAGTCTGGAAGCTAGTGTCTGAGTCTGCATAGTTATACTATGGGATACATACCCTCTTGGATATAGGAATTTCTGAGGTGCAGGCAGGACACTAATTACGATTGAACATTGCAGGAATTAAGGCTCCCGGTTGCACGTGGTTTCTGAGGGGAAGTCAAAAAGGGGCTAAGGCTAAGCTTAGGGAAGTGAAGATCAGGATATATGCTGCAACACCAAGTAAGGTAGTCCTTTATACGTGCATGCAGGCGAGTTTCTTGCAACATCAATCATTTGTGAAAATTGTCCTATAAGCCACTTGTGAGGCTGAGGTACCAACCTCAGAGCTCGGTGTCAACAGTTTGCCAGGGTAGGCGACTCACTTGGAGGCAGTCCACACAAATTTTCACGTGGGGCATCTGTAAGCATGGATATTGAAAAATAAAAAATGCTGTATAGCCCTTGTGGCTTAGCGCTTCTTTGATAATAATAATAATTGAAAAAAAAATAACTTTGAGCATCCCAGAAAATGTAGTGACCTGTCTAAAGGGGTGTCTTTCTTCCTGTACTTTTTCACGGTCACTCCTTGGTCCTCTAAATGCAATGTTGCATCAGCTGTGCTGCATATCGTCTAAAAGGGACCAGGAGGCACAGACACCACAAGAGAAACAAGAGTAGCTACGACAACTGAACCCCATGTGATTTTTTAATGGCAGGAAACGGAAAGTGGAAGGAAATAACATAGTCCACCACCCTGGAGCCTTGTTGGACTGGAGGCAGTCGGTGGCCACTCGTGGCCCTCCAGAACTACAACTGCTGATGCCAATAAAATCCTCTAAAAAAACACAAATACAACCTCGTTTATATTTGCTAATATACAGGACCTTAAGCCACCCTCAACAACAAAATGCCTTTTATCAGTGGACTTTTAGAGGAGTCTAAGCAATGTTTGCAGCCATCAGAGACACAAGATTACTTTGACAATGAAATATGGATAAGTGGTTACAACCTTTTTAGATGCGACAGAAAACAGGCAACCAAGGGGTGGGGGTTGGCCTGTATGTCTGCTGTATAGCCCTTGTGGTTTAGCGCTTCTTTATTATAATAATGGCCTGTATGTCAATCGCTCATCTGCATGGAGTTGCTGAACACCACAAAAGATGTAGTTGAAGTTCTATCAATAAAGATCGAGAACCAAAACCTAGTCATCGTGGTTGTATATAAGCCACCAGACGCAACCTCACAACAGTTCAAGGAACAGCTACTGATAATTGATTACTGTCTGGAAAGCCTTCCAGCTCCATCCCCAAACATCTTAATGCTTGGTGATTTCAACCTAAGGCATACAAAAATGGAAGAATGTAGTGCATAATGTTATAGCTGAAACAATCCCTGGAGGTAGCGCAGATGAAAAGACATGCACGCACACGCGCACACGCACACACACGAGCTACTAAGTTTCTGCGATAAACACGCCTTAAGCCAGCAGATAGTGGAGCCAACAAGACTAGAAAACACATGATCTTATCTTCACAAATAATGAGGACCTGGTAAGAGACATAATATCAAAAACGACTAATTCCGATCACAATCTAATCAAAGTCCAGACTTGCATGCACAGGGGTCCTGATCAGCAAAATGCATGTAACAGCGAAGGTGTCTTCACAAAATACAATTTAGACAAGAACATCAACTGGGACCAGGTAAACCATGTCTTAAATGAAACGTGTCAGGAAGATATCTTAAATAACATGGATCCAAACCAGTGCCTTGAAAGAAACAACTTCCTGACAGCTGAAGCATGCTCTAGGCATATTCCTCTAAGAAAGAAGAGCAGAAGTAAACTGGAGAAAGACGCTCCCTCTACAGAAGACTATGCTGTATAGCCCTTGTGGCTTAGCGCTTCTTTTTTATTATAATAATACAGAAGACTACGAAGAATCTCTGAGCTCTTCAGGAATGCTA